ACTTTGCCCTACACGTTAAAAGTCCACCGCATTATTATTATTATTATTACTGCATTACTATTTAATTTATATTAAATACATTTAATATTACACGAATCTACGCGACCGCACAAGGCTAACTAAACCTTGGCTATGATCGGAGGTCTTTTCCAACCAACCAACCAACTGCACGTTTACAAGATTCTCACAATCCGTGTCTCCTTTTTCTTTTCATTCTCTTAAAAAAAGTAAAGGACGAGGATACACCGTTGCGAGGACTAGCTAGACCGAAATGTGTTGAATATTTAATCATGGATTTCGATTATACGTGTAGTCTACAAGAAAGCAGACAGATAGAGACGCTGCGAACCGGTCTCTGGACCTACTCTGATCACTCGCAAGGTGACTAAGGTCTATGAAGAATAAAACAAAATAGGTGAACGACCCTTCCTCCCTAATCCCTACACTCCCTCTATCTACATATCTAAAGTATAAGTGTATTACCTGCATTCCAAAGAACACGATTCGGGAATTAAATCACCACATTAAAAACACCACCGACTTTGATAATCACCTATCATTCATTCAACGTGTCTGTTAGCCCATTATTCTGTTTATACAACAGTTTTACCAATCATAAAAATAATTTAAAAAAAAATTAATTGAATTTCATTGAAACAGACTTAATTTCCAATTCGAATCCACGAATAAGATGATGATCAAAAGGTCAAAGTAGAAGCAATTAAAAAATGTCATCTCTCTCTCTCTGCTCATCGTCAAATTACTAAACAACAACAAAATCTCGTTTTGCATCAGCATTTCTGCACCATTTACAAAAAAAATTATTCAATTTACAATCATCACACCACGCGCGTTTCCAATTAAACAAGCGAAACCGCAATTAAATTACTTTTATAAAAGTCGGCAAGTTTATGTGTGGAAAATTCATGAGAGTCCGAGAATAGAATCGAATCGCATTAATTATTGAGCATTAAAAAAAGACAGCCGTCTCGCGACAAAACGCATGCAATCAAGTTTCCGACCAATTAACAATTACAAAAACTGCATTAAACTTGAACGTCAAAGTGCACGTTCTCACATCACAAAGTATCAAGTGCACATTTGTATATTTAGTTAAAATCTCCATGCGTAATTTAATTGAGAGCGAACGAGAAAAGCAAACAAAGAGAGTGAGAAACTAATGGAACAATCAAATTCGCGAAATGAACGAGCCCAAAAAAAGGACGAAAATACAAAAGAATTGTACGCTAATTGCTTGAGCATATTGAAATTTCGCTGCTCAGTTGGATGTGTGTCGGGGACGAGAATCTTTTCCTACATTTCCCCTGTACAAAAACGCTTACAGTGGAACCTCGCTTAACGAGTTTACAATCCGTTCCAAAAGTAGAGTGACGGGACTTCTCTTCTCATCGTTAAGCAAAATGCTCGTTATGTGAGGTTCTACTGTATATAGAAACAACAGTTTTTGAAGAATCGAATAATATACATGCAAGAAGAACGTTCCCTTTCGTTGGATGTGAGCAAAACGAAAGCGCGCACTAATCAATTAACATACAGTCTGCAGCAAAGCTTTCAATAGACAATTTGCGAAAACCAATCGATTCATCATACAGTTATTAAAGAAAGAAAGAAAAAAGACACGAAAGCAAAAGTTGTAACAAATTGAAGATTGCGGGGAAATTGTAAATGAGTCAAGTAGCAAACAAGTAGTAGACCGCAAACCGAACGACGAACGCCACATTTCGGCCGGCGGAATTTACAAAAGAATCCAACGTCGGTCGGTCATTATTGAAAACAAAACAGAAAAAAAATGGTTTCAGTTTCGTTTTCACTTTCTCGCAAACGAAACAATGCACTTAATACGCAATTTAAAAAATACAGATTTCTAAATTTTAGATACAACAAATTCCCCAATTACTTGAAAATCGCAAAGTAAACGCGTAACACGCACGCATCTTGATTTAGGAGATAAAGTACGCGCGCGTAGTAAGGAGAAGAGGTCGTCCTTGGCTCAGAAACCTCAAACGTTCCATTACCAAATGCGAGCAGAGTTATTTGACGTACGAGGTACGCGTTTTTATTTATTTATTTATTTATTTATTTTTTGGAGAACCATGAATTACGATCGGTTTGAGAGTGTACACCGTTTCGGAATCGAACCCCATTAATAACGCATTCAAGATCACGACCGGAATCAATTCACAATCTCAAGAGAAACAACTTAATTTTTAACTTTTCGTTTTGACACGACTTTTACGTAAATCCCTAATCAAAGTCCGACCGACATTCGAACGCGCGTTCGTCGCATCCTGCCTAGATAAAAAAAAGACAAGCGCAACTAATCGGAATGTGTTTAAACTATCTAAATAATATCCCATTACTTACGTTATTAACATAATTGTCGGATAATGCGGATTTCACTTTTTTGTTTCTGTTCGTTTGCTCTCGCCGTTGTTTCGCTGCCGTCTAAGTTTGCTAAATCGAAAGATTCCCCCTCATGAACTACAAAGAGAATAACAGAAGAAAAAAAAACATTTTTTTTTAAATTAAACCCACGACATAACACTACTAAAACCCATCAATTCCGAATGCGCAAATATTAGCATTCGACACATTCCAAGTACTCAGAGAAACAGGAAAAGCCTCACACACCAGTATTATTTATCCATAAAACAATACGCGATTTTAAATGTAGAATCTACGACCGAAAATATGTCCACATAAACCAATCAGAGGAGTCCCGCACATGCATAATGCATTCGGCATCTCGATTAAAACGAAAAAAATACCGAGAAAAGAAGCGTGTTTTTACCGTTAACAGCGACTCCTGCAGCAAACGCAACGATACAAAACTGATTTACAAATAATCAATAGTTTCCAAATACATTTGCAAAAGCGATATTTATAATAATAATACTAATTGCGTAATCGTTCGTTTAACGCGAACTCTGTTTGCGTATGCGTCACTGCGTAAATTCCGTTCGAAACGAGGAGAGGATGAAAAGCACACGCACGCAAAAAAAACATAAAATGAAAAGGAATCACGTGAGCTGTTACATAAAAATATGAGTAACGAGTTTAAAAAGAAAAACAATTATCTTGGTCACTCGATTTGACGAATTACAACAAAGTCAATTCCAATACGCAAAGACTGTATCTGGATATTACCAATTTTTCGGAAATAGAAAGTTGTGTAAATAACATAATGCGCGAGTTATTCGAAAACAAAGTTTCTCCACTCTGTTGAATGTTCAAAATTGATTCCAAGCGACGAATTTCGAAGACAATGTTTGGAAACTAATTGAGAATTGCAGAAATTAATTGATAAACTGTACAAACCTGAAATGAAATAATCAAAGTTCAAGGTAGAAACATATTTAAAGACGAAGGTTTTCATCGATCGGGGGGAATCCCCTTTTCTTACGAAACAAAAATCAAGCGCACTAACGCTCGAGTCGAGAAACAAAAGTTTCCCACGACAACTTGACTTTAGGCAACGATTTGAATGCTTTCTTCTGAAACTAACAAAACAGATAAATGAAAGAAGTAGTAAACTATCGTTGGACGAATTAGTTTTCTTCCATCCAATTAGAAATTTTCGTTTGGGACGTGCGTTGGCCGTGAATTTCGCACCGCAACTTTTTGTCGATGAGCGCAACACACACACACATACACACACGCAGAGAGAGAGAGAGAAAAGAACGCTGCCTGCGACATAACACATACGTACTGACCTAAATCCACGGTAAACACGTAACGTGAAACGTAACGCAACCGTAACCCTATTAAGTGCATCATACTATCTATACACAACAACACCATACGAAATGAATCAAAATCAACCCAAAAAAAAAACGAGCAGCGAAAGAACGGAGATGAACGAAATCGAAAAGGCGAGCACACAGAGAGAGAGAGAAAGAGAGAGAATGTTTGTAAACAAAGCAGAAAAGTCCGCTTCGTCGTGTTTTGCGTATGTTTTCCAAGTGACTGTCGGGTGTTGCAAGGTGTTTCGCATGTGTCACGTTTGCAAAATTACAAAACGCGATTTATAATAAATTCGTGCCCGGTATTATTATGTAACACATACACACACACACATCGAAATTGGCCCCCTTTAAAACGCTAAAACTAAAGCTGTTGCATGATGCAGTTGCAAATTAATACTTCCAATTATTACTACTAACTTCTTTTTAAGCATAATAATAATGATGACATTTAAAAGCAAATAAAAAAAAACTTACATAATAACAAAAAATTACAAACTATACAGTAAATAACATTCTAATTGAATTCTAAACGATAATTTTTGTGTTTCTATTATGAGCGCATAACAATTTCGTTATAACACAACACAAAAGTTACCTCAACGCAAGAGAAAGAGACAGACAGACAGACAGAGAAAAATACTCTACAAAAAAAAAACGAAACGAAACGAATAAATTTAATTGGATTTGCAGAATTAAAACTTTCTAAAGTAATGCAACAGAGCAAATGTTGTTTTCAAAGTAACGGACGGAAAACTGATCGCAAGACACTTCCTCGAAATGATATGAAAACGAAATGAACGAATCGAATATGAAAAAAGTTTGCAAAATGTTCGAAATCGATACGTTTAGAAACGTAACCGTAACTAATTGCGTCAACTTAATGCACAATTAATACATTCTTAATGGAAAGAATCAAGACTTCACCTATTGGAAACTTATTTTGATGTGGAGTATCTTAAAACGCAAATCGAGAAAAAACATAATTTTACATAATTAACAAAGACTTATTAAAAACAACTAAACACGAAAGACGGCAATTTTTTTATCCGTGTGTGTTGTTTCGGTGCCGCTGCGATTGGGCAATTAAAATTTCCAAATCGCCGATTTCGAAACGCCAAAACAGAAACACATCAGGTGTTATTTGTTGCGACGAAACGCAGCAGCAGCAGCAGTTACATTCGGAATTGATGGATTGTTATAGATTAAAATAATAAATGTTGTCGATTCTCTTACGTCAAATGAAACGAGAAGTTCTTAGCCGTTCTTTGTTGGTCCAATTGGAAAACAGAAGCACCCCCCAAAAATGAATAATCGACGCACTGTTTTTTTTTCTTTTCTTCTTCTACGAGTGAATTAGAGAGCACTGTTCACCGATGCGGCAAATAATATTGAATGAATCAATGAAACGGAGGAGAAGCACCAACAACAACAACAACCGCAATTGTGTGTCGTATTATCACTTTGATATGTCCGTGCGTGGAGTGTCGTCGGGCGCGCGCGCTTTCGACTGGGTTACTCGCTGAACTGCTCGTCGAAGTCTCCGTTGAAGGCGAACCCAAAGTCCGAGAGCGCTCGCTGCGATCCCCCACCCACCCAGGAGGGAGCAGACGGATACGCACACGGAAAGTGAGAAAAAGAGAGAACGACGAACGCGTATATCGAATCGAAGGTAAGAAGAAAAGAAATGTGAGTAATATCACCTGAGAATGAAGGAAAGAGACTCGCTTCTATACAACAAATCATCCTCTTCCTCCACCACCACCTCAACCAACGCAACTTATCATCGTGATCATCATCGTTATTATTTTCGACTTTGCTCGAAACGTGATTCGTAACAAACTTTTCACGAATCACGAAAGAAGAAAAAAAAAGAGTTTCTTACGTAACAAAACAAAGGTTAGTTAGTGTGCACTTGCTCTCGTTTTCTGCAAAAAATTGCAATCGGAATTCGAAAGAATTATTGCTTAATTAACATTTGCGTGTCTTCGCTTCTTCGACGAAATCCCGATTGCCAAATAATACCATTTGAATACATTAGAATAGAATTTTGGCGTTCGATGGGCGAATTGGATTGGAGGAATGGAAAAAGGAGGCGCAATGTGTAACGCCGTGCACTAATTGAAATGCACCGAAGAGTGCGGCCGACCGTATAATATGTAGTTTTGTAGCGCAAATTGCGCCATCGTTGTGTAACGCTCACGATGGACGTCTTCGAGCGGACGGGCGAGCGCGCGCGCGACCTTCACACAATCGAAGAAGACGAATTTATAACGCAAGTTTTTCGGGGCAGAAATCGATCGATCGAACGCTCAAACAAAGAAAGAAAGAAAGAAAAGTTGCAAACACGCTTCTTGCGTATTCCACCAAACGGATTGCGCAATTTCGCGATACATACATAAACGCATTCCACAACATTCCGCGCATTATGCAACGGAAACCCTCCTCACCTCACCTCACCGCATCGCAATCATCGTCGGAGGAGAAAGTTTTATAAACAAGCATTTGCCAAAGAGAAGAGACGCGATTTCAACGTTAAAATTCACATGCAACAACTTTGATCGTTCAACCAAAAATTGATAATATGCAATCAATTATTCATTTATTGATATTTCATCGTAGCCCGCACAGGGCGCAACGAATCGATTCCCAATGCAAATCCTTTGGTTTGTGCAAATTTTTTTATTGGAATTACGCGACGAGACTCCTCTATCGTCCGATTAACGCCCGAAAACATGCGCATCCGCCAATCCGAGCAATTAAACAACAACAACAACACATTCGCCTATTGGAGACCAATGTCAAGCGCGCAAAAAAAACACACACACAGAAATAAATAGAGAATATTTTTTCGGGTTTAATAACACCATTAAAGGTGCGTACGTACAAATGGAATTGCCTCCTTCCTCAATTAAATTAATCTTCGAGGAAGCGAAAAATTGAGGAGAGAAGGTCGATCCCAACGCCAAAATACGAAAAACTTGGACGGACACGAGGACGAAGGAAACGACAGCAAAATACCAAATTACTATTTACCGATCGTAAATCAGAATCTACTGGAATATCAATAAAACGAACTTAAGTAAAACTGATGACTTAACATGTGATGCAATCGATTTGTTTCAAGAGAAACAAAATTCAAAGGATATATAGATATATAGACTCTATATCTATATTCCTAAGCTCTTATCCATATTGCTGTAATACGCGTTCAAAGTTGAAAAATTGAAATTAGAACGTTCGAAAAAGCAGTGTTTTGACATTCTAGTGATTTTCTCAGAATACAGAGAAGGGATCCAATGGATGCATATGATAGTTGGACATTTGGGGATAGGAATGTTTGGGGAATCTAGAAAGTATCGATATATTACTGTGATTTTAGCCGTTTGGCTGTAATAAATCCGAATATTAGTATATATCCTTGCTCTATCATATGTGTAATCGTGTTCAAAGTTGAAAAATTAAATTAGAACGTCGAAAAAGCAGTGTTTTACATTTCATTGATTTTCTCGAAAACTATAATAGATAGAATGAACCAATAGATGCATATGAAAGCTGAATGTTTGGGGAATCTAGCAAGTATCGATATATTACTGTGGTTTATACCGTTTGGCTGTAATTCGTGTTCAAATTTTGAAAAAATGTTCGAAAAA